GGACTGAAACCAGGCAGCAAGGCACACAGGCAGTGCTGAAGGAGAGCTGGTGACAACCTAACCTTCTTCGTGGTGATAAGTTAGAGAACAGTAGCACATTGAAATTGTCATACTTCCATCACAAAAAGTACTCAAAAGCTACAGGGCAGACCTTTAAGTGAGCATATTCTGACTTACTATTTCATGGAAAACGGGGGAGTTTAAGCCACATTACGGGATGTGAACAAAGTCTGTATATTGATGATCTGAAACTAAAAGCACACTTCCAGGAGTCAACAACTAAATTTCTATCACCTTAGATAATCTCAGAATGTCATGTTAACAAGAATCACAATGTATTCGGTCACTAAATGTTCATTTCTCCTTTTTGACCAGAGTACTTATTTTACCTTTGAACTTGCCCTGAAAGGGCATTATACTTAATAAATTCCAGAACCCAAATCCCACAGATATCAGATCTATACCCTGCACTCTTTTAGAAATGTCACTTTAGGGCCGAGCCCGTGGCGCACTCAGGAGAGTGCGGCGCTGGGAGCACAGCAGCGCTCCCGCCGCAGGTTCGGATCCTATATAGGGATGACTGGTGCACTCACAGCGCTCACTGGCTGAGCACAGTGTGGCCGGTCTCAAAAAAAAAAAAAAGAAATGTCACTTTAATTATCACTGTACCAATCCTGACCCAATTCTTCTTGACAAGCACTACGTAGGCACAAAAGCAAGTCAGCTGGAAAAACTCAGAGCCAAATTTGGAAAAGATTCCCTACCACAATGTTCTCCCGTACTTAAAAGTGAGTACACCAACAGCTACTTGCCCTTTCTGCAAATAATCTTTGAAATCATCCATCCCGCTTTAATGACCTCATTCTCCAGAACCCTCTTAGATAAGGAGGCAAATAACCATACTTCTGCATAAGAAAACAAAATATGGTGACAATTTAAAATAAACACCCATATTCTAACAAATCTTAGAACAGCTCTATCTATCTCTACTCCAAGATACAAACCCACTTGAATCAAACCCACATACAAAATTCCATGTCCACGTGTTCCAAACTATAATTACCTATAATCAACCTACCCTCAAAACCGCTCACTCACCAGGTGCCATACACTTCAGCTGGTCCTGCCACCACTCACAGCAGGCCAAAGTATGAAATTGTTTGTAACTCTTCCTTACTATCTCACACTACGCCTTCCCCACTCCCCTATACCTTCCCCACTCCCCCACATAACCCAACACCTCAATAAACAGCTACCTTTTTTCAAAGAACAAAATTAATGCATGTATAAACATGGTTAAAAAATTCAAAAAAATTACCAGGAAAACAAAAAGAATAAAGAAGCCCCTCACTTCTTTCCAGTTTTCAAGCTGGGTCAGCAGTTATTAGTTATTATTATCTAATGCCCCTTGACAGTTTTGAGGAATACTAGTTAGATGGTTTCCAGAATATCATTCAATTTGCATCTGCCTGAGGTTTCTGACATGCTTAGACAGAGCTTATGGGTTTGGGGGAGGAAGACCTCAAAGGTAAAATGCCATCCCCATCACATCATATCAAGAACACATGCCACTAGCAAGACTGTTGATGTTGACCTTGACCACCTGGCTGAGGTAGATTTCTCCTTGAAAAGTTACTCTTTTTCCCCTTTTCCCTACTGTACTCTTTGGAAGGAAGTCACCATTTGCCACCCACATTTAGAGTGGGAAGTCAAGCTTCTCTCCTTTAGAGTGGAATATTTACATAAACTACTTGAATAGTTCTCCATTACATGTTTATTCAATCATTTATTTATATCAGTACGAACTCATGAATATTTATTTTATACTTTGGGTTAAAATCCAATACTATATTTCGTTGTTTAAAGTATTCCAGATCTGGGAACTGGGAGCTCTTTCAGTTCACTCCTGTGTCTTTCAGACATACCCCCATTGTTGTTTTGCTTTTTGAGCACTACCTCACTTTCTGGCTCTATAAGATGCTCCAGTCTCATCCTGTATACTCCCTCCTCCAGCCCCAGAACCAGCCATTTCCCAAGGAACCTGGTGGTATTAGAGACCAAGATCCAGGTACTGTGTGGCAATTTCTTGTTAAGAGATCTTATTATACATCTGATCCTGCATCTTGTTTTAAGAGAGCTTTCCATACCTACACAAAAAGATCAACCACGTCATCTTAAACCTAAGTCCAACTTTCACCTCCTCTTGGGTGAAACACTGTCACAGTTGACTGTGTCCCTATAACACATAGGACGATATTTACGTGCCAGGTCCCATACCTCTATGCCAAGCTATCTAAAGGTACCACCTCATTTACTCCTCATGATGGCACAGGAATTGTTATCCCCATTTTGCACAAGAGAAACCAAAGCTGATAGACAAGTTGGTGGCCCCAGGTCACACAACGCTCGTGCTGAGACAGCACTCACACTGGCCTGAGAGATTACACAGTCCACACACTCTCACTCATGCCGGCCCGAAGTCACTCATCCACTTACAATCCAGTCACCTAGACCAGTAGTCCCAAAAGCCATTAAAGGACTAGTGACATTTTTTTGGATGATTAACACCTGTATGCACCAAACTGAGAAAAATAAGGGACACCTGGTAAATTTCTCATAGAGTTATTAAACTGATTTCCCCTTAAAAGACTATCCTTTAGTCTGAAATTGCATCTTTTTTTTTATATTGGTGCTAATGCCCCTTGTTTTATGAAATGGTGATAAGAAAAGAGACAAGATGGGTTTTTTGTTTTGTCGTCATTGTTGTTATATTTGGTCAAATTAAAGTTGGCCACCCTTTATCAGTCTCCTTCACCCCACCCAATTTTTCAAACTTAATTCTCTGAAAAGTAAATGGCCCAAAACAAAAAATCTCAGCTTCTATGTGTGGCATGTAAGACCCTGGTCCAAATTCCCCTGTACCTTCCCCTCCAGCAATACCAAACTGCTTTGAAAAACAAACTCATGCTTGTATTCTAACTTCATTTCCCAAAATTGCCTTCATCTCCAAATCTACTAGGCAGACAACTGTTAAGGAACATCAGAATTTCAAAGCATCTTTTTGTTATAGAGTGCCAGTGGCTGTTTTAATAATATCTCGTCCAATGCTTTCATTTTCTAATGATTCCCTACAGTCACTATTGAAAATGGCATGATTTCAGAAGGAGGAAGCACTTAGCTTGGCAAAATGGCTTGCTGGAAGGAGCACTGCTCTAAGACAGCAAAGTCCAGGGCTCTCCTCTCTGTCTCGCCATTAACCCAATTATAGAAAACGTGAAACCTTCAGTATCTATGTTTAAAAGCTACCATGCCTACTCCTTACGGGGCTGCTGTGAGGATCATAGAACACAGACAAACAAAACACACAGGAAAGTGCTTTGAAAATACTAAAATACTCTATACACTGTGAGAGAATTGCTGGTATTATATTTTGCATATATTTACTAGTCATGAACTAATACATGATGATTCAAATATGCCACTGCTACAAGGTGCAGCTTTTAATCCTTGTTTCCTACCACATTTGCAGTTACATAGGGTAAAAGTGACCAAGGCTTCTAAGTGTGCATTTTAGGTAAGAGTGACTAAGGAGGAGGTAGGCAATTTGAAAGGAAATATTAAGCTATTTTCAACTCTGATCCACAAGACGTTCTCCATGGCCTTTCCACATTTCACATAAAACAGTTAATTCCCATATTACTTTGCCCTGTTGTTTAAAAAAACCCCAAATACAGTAACATAAGACAAATGCTCCTTATAAGTAACACATTTTCAGATTCTCAAATGAAAAGCTCTAAGAGAGGTCACTTCAGAACATGAATTATTTAACTTTCCTGCTCAGGTATTGATTTCCTACAGCAGCTTAACCTGAAAACAGAATACTAAAATGGGGTATGAAATAAAAAGGAATACCATCACAGTACACTTTAAATCCTCAATTTAAAAATATAACTATATTGCTTTAAACTCTAAATTTAAACATATAAGCATAAATGTGGCTCCTTCAGCCAAACTTACCCAAATTTAGTTTAAGGAGACAAATATACACACCCTTAATAATCCACTACAAAATAAACACAGAAAAAAAAATAAACACAGCAAAAGTGCTGGATGCGTGCCCATTTCCCCACAGCAGGAGACAAATGAACACTTGTTATTGTGCACAATCTCACTGTGTAATACCTGTTTCAGTTGAAGGGTTTGGAAATATCCTTCAGAAGCAACAAATTAAAATCCTGCCAGAAACATCATCCCAAAGGAAAGCAAGACAGTGATATGGGTTGTTCCCATCACATCAACTGCACTCTGCCTTTAAATACAAACCTTGTTCACACAAAATATTTCAAAATCACTTCAATGTTGCCAAAACCTGGGTAAAGCCCCTGCAGAAAGACTAAAGACTAATCAATAAGACTTTCTGTGAACAATACACTTCTTCTGCAGTTTTTCCTTTCAGTTTTTGCATTTTAAAAATGCAAATCTTTAAAAGGGAGGAAAAAATTTAAACAATGATTCTCAAGACAGAAGCAGCATCCCTGCACTGCTGTGATTTATATATGCTTTTCTTCTATTTTCTTTTGGGAAAACTTAGAAATTTCTAACCAGTAAATGCCTTTCAAGACAGCTTAGAGTTATTAACAAATGTCTTGTAACTGCAAAATAGATTTATTTTCATAACCCATATACTGTGAATGACAGCAGAGAAAAATTTAAAGCACATGAAATAAACAGAAGCTGATGAAAACACAGCTAATCTTAGCTTACTTACTGTGCCTACTTCCTGTCTTCAAGTCCTCAAAGTTTGGTAATATCAACGTTAATATATCAAGCAGGTTTCACAATTTTTTCCCTGCCTAAATGCAAATAATATTCATAGCAATTATTTTCCTAAGTTTCACGCATGATTTTTAGCAATTATAAAATATTTTAAGTGTTTTTTTATTTCCTAGTCAAGCAGCAATAATTACAAACACTTTTCAGAATATATTAGAACAGCCTACCTTTCCCAGTAGTCATGATTATCAGTGATCTTGGTACCAAATAAAAACACTGCTCTGAAAGCTATACATACTCATAGCAACTCAAGCGTCAGCAAACTCTCCACCCACTTGTGATCCAGCACCAATGACAACTGCCACCCTCTTCCAAAATAAAAGCCTAGGTTATATATAACATTGACTTTTTAAAAAGAGGCCGGTGGGGGAGGACCGTCTCCATCTAACTTTACTTGTGTAAAAAACCCTTCTTTAAAACTGGTATTAAAAAAACGTTAATCAACTATCTCATTTTTCCCCTCAAGAAACAAAGAATATTCCTAACATAAATCTTAAGTTAAAAAAATATCAAAAAGCAATCTTATTTCCACATAGAAGAAAAAATAAGCTGTCCATTATAGCTTATGCTACTTAAGCTGGTATCAGAAACAGTCTCTTCCAGGCTATTTTAGTGGTCCTCTCCTTAGCACAGCTCAATGCATTTGCCAACCTGGTAACACATTATCCGTGCCTCTGTGACTATGGAAACACTTTCCTAAGATATTGAACCACAATCTTGAACCTTGTAATATGAAGAGTCTAATGAGGGGTGGGGGATGCTTATCAGCATTTGCCAACCTGGTAACACATTATCCGTGCCTCTGTGACTATGGAAACACTTTCCTAAGATACTGAACCACAATCTTGAACCTTGTAATATGAAGAGTCTAATGAGGGGTGGGGGATGCTTATCAGCACATGATCCACTATTCATAATCACTGCTTCTAAAGGCTATGCATGGATAATAATGGCTTGGCTTCTTAATAAAGAAAAGACAATGGACTCTCCTTTAAATAGATGCTGACTCTCCTTTAAAAAAAAAAAAGAATCAATAGGAGCCCGTCGCTGTAAACAGATCCTCCTTTGCTCCGACGAAGCCACACAGGAACATCCACAGGAGAGTCAACAACGCCACTTTGTGAGGCTGCTGGCACGGCGCCGTCTTGCTCCCGAGAGGGCCGTGGGCAGTGCCGCCTGTGTGTCCGTGCAGAAGCCTCGCCACACCTCGGAAACGTCCACGAGCTGCTTGGTAGTTCATCTGGGGCCGCAGGTTCACCCCAGGCAGAGGCCAAAGGCCCACACGGCAGCGCAAATGCTATCTCTCCTCACTACAGGAGCCAGGGATACTTTTTAATGCAAGAAGAACAGGGTCCGGCTCCCTTGAATGAAGCGAAGCAAAAACAGATGAGGCGGGGGATGTGGGGCACTCCGTGTGTTCTTTTCCACCCTCAAGTCTTGAGCCTCACACAAAGACCCTCCTTCAGGCAGCCTGTCTGTGCCAAGTCGGTTCTGTTTTCACACCTCTTTTCAGAGATAAGAGGTAATGCTTGGGAATCACATAACTGAATTGCGAAATGCAACTGATCAGCTAAAATTGGCCATTTTAGGTGCCAAAGCAGGAGCTAGCTTGGTAGGTGCTCAATGGAGCCCCTGTTTTCCTTCCTCCACACCTAAGAGCGGCACATTTCTATCGGCCTCCGGTTGGCTGGCCCATTAGCTAAGGTGGAGAGAACCCAGGGGCTTGTGCTCAGTCGAGCACACCGACTTTCACTCACTGCCTTTTGGAAAGCGCGGGGGTTAGCTGACACCAGCAAGCCTGCCCTAATCCTCCCGGCAGCATAGGCAACTGCTCCCTTGGCAGGCAGCACCTGTCAGGAGATCAATGACCCATACCTTGGGAGTTTTAGGGGATGAAGTCTAACTGCTGAAGGGGCCTTGGATCTCTGGTCTCGTAAGTATGACCAGCTGGGACACTCACAGCTTAGAAAAGCTTTGCATGTAAGAATGCTGTATACTCCCAATCCATACTTGACACACTTTCTGAAACAGGGATGGGAGGACACCCGTATCCAGATGCGGAAGCAGAAGCTTCAGGGAGGGTCACCCCTTGGAGAAACAGGTCTCAGGCTGATCTTGCCCATACTGCCTCGTTAATCTAGGCCCGGTCACAGCCCTGCTCAGGCTTTGCCTGTTCTGGGCACCACAGATGCTCGCCCACTCCCGCCTGGCTCTTCTCACCAGTTGATCTAGGAAGCTCCCAAAACTGGCTAATTAGTTCCTCACTGCCATTGTAATCATGTCACAATCATCTCCATTACTCTCACTGAGCGGGTACTGCTGTGTGTAGGGCATCGTCCACCTCGTAGACCTTGGGCTCAGAAATGGAGGCCCATGCATCCCTCACAATATGTTGCTCAATGAACATGTGGTGAATGAATGGATGGGAAAGTGGGTGGATAAAGAAAGAGTCTTTCCTATCATCAAAATTTAATGAGATTAAAGGCTAACTCATGTGTGGGGCTAAACTGAATGTGGCCTCTCTGGGCTGGGAGTTGGGTAGGGAGCAGGAATAGGGAGGTGGGTTTCAGGCTCCTTGCAAACACGGTAATGCTTGTGCATGAACAGGCAGGTACCAACTAATGCCAAATTTAGATAGGAAGCCACAGAACATCTTCCTGAGATTGATTGCATCTGGTGACTGCCACTCAAAAATAAGCAGAAATGAGTGGCAGAACACCTCTGCCTCACCTTCTTTCCTCTCAGGTTTGTGGTCTTGACCCTGGCCCTTCCCAGGGTAGAAGGCAGCTTTGCCAGGCTCGTGCCACTCTCCCAAATTTTTATGCCCTCTTGCTTGGCAGAACTTGATTCTCCTTTCAATTATTCAAAGAACATTTAGAACAGGGGACCACTATTTCTGCTCAATCACTACTTATTATTATTACTATTCCATGGACTTCATGTATTGAAAGATCCTGTTTACCAAAGTGCATTTATTAAGTAACACATTTTTGAAATCAGCATAGATGACCAGTGTCACTACATTGGGTAGATACTGTTTGAGTCCAAAGCAAAGGAACTGAGTTTTTTTAACCTATGCATCCTTATCCCAAGTCAATGCATTCATTCTGTTTTGCCATTTGTAATAGTAAAATGGCTTAGAGAACCACTCCAAGCTCCATCCCCCCAGTACTACCCAGAGACCCCAAGTTAGAATTAAAGACAATTAATCGAGCTCTTCTAAGTGAGCAAGGTTTATGGAACTTGCGGAACTGGAAAAATCCTTTTCTTCCGGTTTTCTGCAGTAAGGAAAGCTAGTGAGCTGAGACAGATCTCATGGAAAATCCAACTCTGCAGGCTCGTGGTTGACCAAATCAAGTTCTTTTATATATCAGGCCACCTCTTCCCCACCCAGCAAGAACCAAGCTGAAGAGGGTTCCACCAAGGTGTGCTCACCTCACTCCTACACCCCTAAATTGCCCTCCTCTGCCTGCCTCCTATAAGAAGAATGTGTGCTTCAGGTGGGGGGTGGTTACCATGGCAACATTTAAGGCCCTCTGTTATCTGGCCCTAACCTACCTTCCAGAGGATCTTATCTCTCCCCCCCACCCACACTACTTATTTTGCAACCATTGATCTAAGGGAAAATCAGTCCTGCAGTTAGGGGTGGATGGTGGTAGGGATGGGAAGGTTCAGAATTTCTGGGGAGGGGTGGGTGTAGCTTGAAAAACATAATTAGTATGATAATTTTATGTGTGGAAAAAGAAAACAAATGCCCATTGCAGTCCCAATATAAATTACAGAAAGAAAAGCTTGATAACATCTAAGCTAATGGAGACCACAGAAGATAAGCAGGGGCCAGCCCAATTTGGGAGAGAAGATCAGGATCTCCAGGAGAGGGGGAGGGAGACATGAGATTCTTATGTTTATCCAAAGGGGGCATGAGTTGCACAAGACTGGGCATGGACAGACATCTCTGGCAGACCAGGACAGACCCTGCGTATCCTATCCCAGGCTCCACTCCAGCCCTCCACCCCTCCCGCCAGCCCACAGGCCACCCCAGGTCTAGTCACCAACCACCTCGATCGCCTGTCTCGCACACCCCTGACCTCCTCTGCACGGTATCGGCAGAGCTGGCCGGCTCTCGGTGCATTTGCTACCTGGTGTGCTCACTCCCGTGGGTACTGAAGACGCCACTGTCACATAAGTGCTCATGGCTGGGCTCCTTAACTCGACTTTAAGTTATTCATTATCTTAATCATCTCTAAAATTCCCAGAATAAGCTCAGAACCTTCTGTTTGTTTGTTTTCCCAATTCATGCTCAACTTTATTCACAACAGCCTTAAACCGGAATATCCATCAACTGGAGAACAAATGGGGCACATCTGTACAACAGAACGAGTACAACAATAAAAGAGAAATAACAGGTGCATGCAATGGCATGGGCAGCTCACAGGCATTAGCTGAAGCGAACAACTTTTTAAATGATCTCATAGCACCCTTCGCTTTTTCCTTTTTAGCACTAATTTGATAATTAAACTTTATTGTATAGCTACTTGTTTAAGGTTATCTCTTCCACCAGAAGTCAGGGACTTTTATTATTATTATTATTATTATTATTATTATTATTATTATTATTATTATTATTACCTTGATCATCAACATAGCGGGACAGTAGTTGCTGTTTACGACAGGCTACTACACAGCTCTATAGACTGCGTCCAGTACTGCAGGCAAGGAGCTTTGCCGACATTTTCGCATCAGTCACACTGATTCTCCAGTCTG